AGTTTAGACCTGATGTATGGGGTCTGAAATTTGTTAGTGCTTTACCCAAAATCTCACATTTAATGCCCAGATTAAGTCTTTATGGAATGTATACACCAGAGAACATGATTTGGTCATTGGCCTGCTGCCTTGTGATAGCGGGAAAGAACAAGTAACATGGTGATCCCATGGGATGATTTATTTAAGCTATGGGAAATGCTAGGTTGCCCTGCTTCTCAAGAGAGATCCCCTCTGGGTCTGATGAGATAGAGCTCACAGTAAGAATCTTTAATACTCTTATTTTTCTAATCTACATTAAGGCATTATTGTAACTGATATTTTTTCCTTAGCATCTAGTAAAATAAAGATGCATCTTACAAAGCATTAAGTATTCCATGGCATTAAATTCCATGGCATGATGATTGTTCCTATATTATACTCCATCCAGATTTCAATTTGTCCCAGTCACCCCCCTCTGTACTGCAACAGCATCACATGACAGTGCTCTGAGGTAACAGCCAAGATGAAGGGCCCACTCTAAATTACCCTTGGCTCACACACCTTCCTTCTGAAGGGTCCTTCCTTCCGAAAGTTCCACCATTATTCTGTCACTTGGCTCTTTTTCCTTTCCCAAAGGCCCTAATTTAAAGTTAGCTCAAGGACACCTGACAACCAGCATCCCAGTTGTAACACAGGTCACCTGCCCAAACTCTGCCTTACCTATCATTGTCCCTTACATTTCAACAGCCATTAATGGATATTTACAGTGGTAATAGTGACTTGCTGCAACACAGTTTAAGACATGATCTAGTCTCTTTTTGTGCTGGCTAGGGCTTCACTGTTTCCTTTCCCAAGCCTTTACTTCAGATCTTTGCTTAGGGGTGAAGCGTTACATAAAACAAGTTTACATAACAGCGCCCATACCACATAATCACATATTATGGTTGGTGATAAAGAAAAAATAAGCACTTCACATAGCATGACTCTCTCAAAAGAATTTAAATTACAAACGTAAGCTGAAACCTCTTGGCTTTTACTAGAGTTACAGAACTGATAATGTCCAACTGGGATATATAAATTACCATGTTCAGGGCCACCACTTGACTCTTAATCAAACCCTCCTGCTACTTAATCTAAGCTGCAATCACTCTTGATAATTGGCAGGTGACATTTTCATAGGCAGCCACAGTATATTTACACATGTATGTGTTTAAGTTGTGCTCTCAATCCTGTTGACAGAGGAAGTGAAGGATCATTCTAGCTTTTGAAAGGTTCAACTTTCAGAAAGCTGAAAACTTTGGATGCTGCACTTGTATTCTTCGGGGGTGGTTTGGGGAGGGAGAAGGTACCATTTGTAGAGCCTGGCTGGGGTCTGTTTTGCAGTGTGCTATGTGGGCTGTGAGTTCTTCCCACTTTATAGTTTATGCCCAACTGCCTGTTGAGAAAGGTTTATTATCCAGCTTTTGCTGATAAAACACCAGAAGCCTAGAAAGACAAATATAATATGTACTCACTCATAAGTGGGTATTAGACATAAAGCAAAGGACAACCAGCCTACAGGCCACAACCCCAGAGAAGCTAGGTAACAAAGAAGACCCTAAGAGAGACATACATGGACCTACCTAGGAAGAGGAATAACACAAGATTTCCTAAGTAAATTGAGGGTGTGGATGGAAGAGGAGAGGAGGGAAGGGGAGTGGGAAAATGTATAGCTTAATAAAAACATAAATTAAATTTTAATCAAACACCAGAAGCTTGGGAATGTTAAATAAATGAGCCCAATATTCTGTCGGGGACCAGGAAAATTCCATTAGGAAATTTCCAGCAGTTCCAGTTGAATAGAGGATACTAACTGATTTGCTATTGAATAGCATGGTCTCAGTGGAGAATGTCCCCGAGTTTGCATCACTACAGAACTAAGCATTTGAGTAGGCCTGCACCTGGGCGGAGGGTGAGGTGTATGAATAACAAGAGAGGACAGAGAGAGTTAGGAGCAATCAGGCAGAGGAGTCACTAGAGGAGAGAGAAATGGCTGGGTCTGGGAAGCATGGTTAGGAAACATCCAGAAAGATGCGGAATAAACAAGAGACTCCAGCTTTACAGCATGGAACTGAGAGCTCTCTAAAGATGACAAGATGCCTGTGTTTGGTCTTTATCGCTGTTGGGCTGCTAGGAGTTTCCAAGTCCACGCTCCCCCACTCAGGCCAAACCTCATGGTTACAGTGGCTTGGGGCTGAGACATGCTGGGCCACAACAGTATTCAAAAGTGAGTTTCGAGTCTATATTTTCAATGTTTACCCTTGAGTCCATGAACTTTCTCCACTAATAACCATCAATGAATTCCACATCTGATGAAAGAACACTGGCTTCAATATGACAAACTCTGCCTGTGCCAAGTCTCCTCACTGTAGGTGAGATTGTGATCTGAAATGAACAGTTGTATAAACCAGAGCACTCAGAGATTAAACACAGGTGGCTGACAAGAAAGGTTATATTGCTCATAGTTTCAAACTCATTCCTTAGTGCCTTGAATGCTGAAAATTGAATCTTCTTGATAGGCTGTTGCAAAGTTCCAATAAAGATGTTTTGCTTGGTTCATGTTTCTGGGGGATGGCGTAACTATGCAGCCTGACCAACAAATGCCACGAAGCCCTGACCAATGACTCATGGGCTCAACTGTGAGATCTTGCGTCAGTATCAAAATATCATTTATAATTACCTGAGCCAAATAGCCAAGGGCTTGTCAAACTCATTATACTATCTTGGCTCTGTTCTAATTTAATCTTAAAACAAAAAGAACATGTATGGTGAAGAAAATGGCAATGTATTATAGATATCTACATTAAAAATAATTTTATATAATAAAAGTTTCCTAAGTTATGTTGAAGTGTTTTGAAGTTGGATTTTTTTTAACATAGGACCTGAACCCCCTATGTAGGAAGAATGACCTTGAACCTCTGATCCTCTTGCCTCTAGACTGCTGGTATTATGAGCATGTACCACCATACCCATTTTATGCAGTGTCAGGGTTTGAACTCAAGAACTTGTGCATGCAATGCACTCTACCGCTGAACTAAACAACATGATAAATAAAAAACCCAGAGACAGATACTGGGAATCAAGCTTCAAGCTGAAGATCAGAAAAACAAAGCAGCCAAGCCACTAGTTCTCAGGTCTACTTCAGGCTGAAAGGGTTGATCTTGTCACCAAGCCCCAGACTGCTGCCTCTCCTCAGCATGCCTGAAGAATAATCCTAAATCTGACTACTGAAAACCCCGCTTCTATCTTTTACATCTCTATAATACTGGAATTAAAGGCCTGAGCTCTGTTACTCTTTTAGACTGATTCAGTCTCATGTAGTCCTGGGTGGCCTTGAACTCAGAGAGATTCATCTGCCTTTGTCTCCTGAGTCCTGGGATTAAAGGTATGTGCCTGACTTCTATGGATAACTAGTATGGTTGCTTTGCTATTTTGATCTTCAGTAGCTTTAATAAACCATAAACAATATATCACCCCAGGGCTACATGCCCAGTCCTAGAAGTTAGTGTGAAAAAAAAAATTTAGAAGAGTAAAAGTAACCCTCTCCCCCAAGGAAAACAATTCTTGTTTAACATTTTATATGCTTCTTCCCTCCCTCTTTTCTTTTCTTCCATTTTTTTCCCTTGTGTTTTGAGATAGGGACTAAGGCATAGTCTAATGTGACCCTAAACTCTGTATCTCTTGTCTTCTGCCTGTATCCAGTATGTTGGGATCATGAGCATGGGATCATGATTACTCTCTGTGTAAATATAAAAGAGTGATGGGGCTGGAGACATGGCTCAGCTATTAAGAGCACTAGGTACCAGGGATTTGGTACCTAGTAGCCAAAAGGCAAATCACAATGGTCTGAAACTCCAGCTCCAGCTCCAGCTGATACATTGTCCTCTTCTGGACACACACACACACACACACACACACACACACACACACACCACGTTTTTAAAAATTTAAAGATAATGGAAGTGCTACAGTAAATGTCCTTCTCTGTTTTACACTTCTAACACCAAGCTAATTAGAGGGGAGAGAAGAAAGAAAAAAGAACAAAACAAAAACCAGTAACCTCTGTAAACAATATAGTGAAAGGAAGATGAAGAACACTTAGTTCTAAAACAAAGTGATGACACCCTGAGCTTAAGTGTCCCTTGTCAGCTGTTGTCACAGTTGAGAATGAGTGATAGCTTCACCACTCAAAATAGCCTCTCTTAATACTGGTAGATAGTGAATTGAATTCCCCACCACATGATACACTGTAAATTGCCATGCCTTACATTCTGACCTTTATATTAAATAAGGATGTAGGCTTGTTTAATCTCTGCAAAGAAAAGCTTTACTCAGCAACACTCCTAGTGTGTGTGTTCAGGTGACAGTGTCAGTATTTTATCAGGCCACCTGCTCTCTTGTGGTATTGCTGACAGCCTGGCTTCTTTATGTCATGAACATAGCCAATAGATGGGGTCACTACTTTCCATCTTCCCAGGGGGTGACACTTGGTAGCAGGCCAAACAATAGAGAGTTAAGCAAGCTACGGGTCTGACAGACACGTGGGCGGGGCGTTGACTTAGCAAATTTAAGTTCCACCAGGAAGGAGGCTGAGCTCAGAACCTTGGGGGTGAAGGAAGCGGAAAGGGTCCGGAGGCGTGTGGGCCGCAGCAGAGTTATTTACAGGGTGCAGCTTTGCTTGAAGACATTTTAGGAGCGGGTTGGTTTGTGGGCATCTAGGGGCGGTGGGGGGGCGGGGTGTGCTTTGCCACAAGGTGTATGCTTGCTGGGTCAGGTGGCATGGCGGAACAGAGGGGCACTTCCGGAGCAGGCCAAGCACCTCACCCACCCCACCCCCTCCCGCTCTCCGCCCCCCCCCCGATCCACACCCACCATTCTTAGGTTTCTCTGGGAGTCACCATAGCAACGGACGCTAGCTTTGGAATTCAGACTCTCAGAGCTCAGAACAAGCAGTTAGGTGGTGGCTGCACGGCCCAGCGGTCATGGCGGAGGCTGAGAATGATAATTGGGAGGAGAGGGCGAAGTTGAAGACCCAAGGATGCCGGAAGATTCTCAATAACCTCGAGGGGGTTATTGAACAATTCCGATTCAACCCCAGGTGACCTGCCCCTGTGCCCGCGTGTCCCAGAGCAGGCCCGCAGCCTTGTGGCCTTTGATTTCTAAAGTAAACCATAGGCTAAAAGCACAGACTCGGTCTGGGTTCCAGTTCGGCTTAATGTCTCCCCAGGTGACATTAAGGTGACTTAGATGGTTAGCCTCTGTTATCTCAGCTGGGAAATAGGACTGTGGCCAACTATACCTATTCATCACTGACCACAGGGCATGTTAAATATATTCACCTAGGTACAGTCTAGAAGACAGACAGAAATGGTACAAGGATGCTTTAAGAAAATACCAGGACTCCAGTTTTTAAACACCGATTTCTTCGGCAATTCTAAGGCTGGAAGTCCAAGAAATGGACACACTGATTTGTTGTCTGGTGATCCTTTCCCATAAACACGTTCTTACTGTATCCTCTAGTGGGACCAGCGCGGGAGCTGTCTCTCAACTTCCCTACTCTCTATCACCACCACCCTGGCTTTTTATAAGGGTAAAGTCTTGTTTCTAAGGCTCCCACATCAGGACCCACTCACCTCTCTTGACCCCCACCTCTGGAAGCCATCGCTTTGGAAATCAAGACACTTATATGGGTTTTCTTAGAACCAGAGCACCCTCAAACACACAGAGACAGCAAGCCATATGCCTTTGCAAACGGAGTCATTATGTCAGGGTCCTAGGGTTTCATTCCTCCTTGGGATCATTAGTCCTAAGCCCTACTATTGTTATTTGGATAATGTAGAGTTGACATTTCTGAGAGAAACAAAACAAAACATTTTCCTTAAAACACTTTTTCAAAGTAGTAAGCACATAGCCCTGGATTAACTGCTATAAGATGTAATTCCATAGGCAGAGGCCTCAGGAAACCAGGCAGTTGGTTCCAGGCAAGCCCAACACCAAGGTAGCAGCTCCATGTTGAAAGTGGGGATGACTATGGCTGGACCAATCTAATAGTGGACCTGACCCTGTGACACAGTCCTGCTGAGCTCAGCCTCCCTAGTGCAACTGTATTAAATAATAGGTATGTTGGTCAAACTGAGTCAGGGTGCACACAGATCCTGATAAAGCTGTAGAAAGTACATAGCCCACTGTGCCCACATGCCTCAGAACAGGCCCACAGCCTTGGGGCCTTTGATTTCTTAAGTAAACCATAGGCTAAAAGCTCAGACTCGGTCTGGGTTCCAATTCTGCTTAACCCCAGGTCCTGACTTAGATGGAGACAGCTCCTGGCAGACATCAGTGGAATGCTGTGCCTAATCTGTTCCTAAGAGTCCCTTTCTCTTCTGGATTCCTTGACATTCCACAGTGGAATAAGTCCCCAACAAAACATTCCAGCCAGACTCAAGGAACCCAAGGGTACTAACACACCTTAATTTGAACCAAGGAACCACTAACGCCCATAATAATTTTCCTCCACACAAAGGCTCAGGGATCCAGGTTGCAGCTCTGAAATGAGTGGGAGAAACTGAATACTGCAGTGCCCAGGGATCTGAGCATTGTTTCGTTAGGCCTGGGAAAACAGCAGTTCACATAAAGACAGCCTTGGTGAAGTAGACATTCTGGTTAGGGACCAATGGTAAAGTGGTTAAGTCAGTAACTATGTAATGAGTCAGACAGCATTTCCACGTGAAAGAAGAAACAGAAGCAAAGGGTAGCAGGGGAAAATGTGTGTGCATGTTACACATCCCCAAGTCACCAAGTGGAAAGGTGGAATTGTAATTTTAGATGTGGCTGTCAGGAAAGGCTTCACTGTGATGACATTAAGAAGAAAACTGCAGGGAGGAGCCAGACAGATATATCCCGATATATCTGGTGCCAAAAATCCTGACTGAGAGAACAAGAAGTGGAATGTAGGGAGTCTGGGAATAGGAATAGCAAGGAAGCCAATATGGCTATCACATAGAGAGAATGGGGTGGGGCAGAAGACATATGGCCAAAGACTTCAGCCTTTATTTCAAAAGAGGTGGGAAGCCAATTGACCCAAGTGCTAATATTCTTTGACTTAAATATCTATGGGATTGTTCTGCTGTTTTGATAATAGACTATAGCAGGGACACAGGCACAAGTGGGGAAACCAGTTAGCAGACTTTTACAATATCTATCAAGGAGGATGGCCATGGGGCCTGGGTAAAGCACTTGCTATGAAGGTCTGAGTTTGTATCTCCAGCCATGTACAAAGCTGGGCATGATGAAGCAAAATTGGAAACCTAGCACAGGGAGAAGGGGAAGGTGGGTTCCAGGTGCTCACTGCCAGCCAGTCTAGCTGATACAGCTTGAAACCTGAATTCATCAAGCAGTCCCATTCCAAAAACTAAGGAGGAACACAATAGAGAAAGACAGTCAACATTGAATTCTGGCTTCCACATGCATATACCTGCAGACAAGTACATGGGTGCACCCATTCATGTGCTCACACACAAGCAAATAACATTTGCATGGAGGAAGGTGGTCTTGGGGAACAGGAGGTAGTCCTTGGAGGTGCTGAAGATGTTGTCATATTCTAGCTACTCATTAAAAAGGGGATTGGTTGAGTTAACTGATTGACTGCCATGCATAGGACAGGCTCCAAGGTTTCTGACCTGAGTAGCTGGAAAAACGGGGTTGCCATTAACTTTGTTGGGAAAGGGAACATGAGGAACAGGATGGGGGCCATGTGATATCCTCACCTTGGGATACAGAATGTCAGCAGTGACTGGTAAACATCTATTTAAGCAGTTCAGTAGTAAGGTCTAAATGTTGGAAGAGAGGTCCAGCTTGGTGTATCAATTTGGAAGTAATTTGTAAAAAGATGCTGTGTTAAGTAAACTATGAGATTTGATGAGATCAGTCAGGAAACATATGTATATATATATACATACATACATACATAGGTATATATATGTATATATATACACACATATATATATGTGTGTGTGCATATATATCTTTGAAACAAAAAACAATAAAAGAATATTTTCCTTAAATAACATTGAGCCATTCACCACAGTGAAAATTTAGCACCTCTAATGTCATCTTCATTGACTAATTCATTAACTGGCATTTGTTAGGACGGACTATTCCAGGGCTCAGTGGGACGTGTTGCTGCAGTCTATTAATAAATATTCATGGGTCTGCTTGTGTAAGTTAGCATATTAATTTTGTGTCTAATTTATTAAACATAATTGTTATCTCCCGAGACCATGCTTTATGCATAATGAGCAACCTATTATTGAGGAGAATTGCACAGACTATAAATAAGGACTGTGTAGGAACCACTTAGCTAAGGTCTTGGAATGTGGGCTTCCGTTCTAGGCAGTTCAGTTAGCATCTAAAATTAGAACTCCTTCAAATCTGAGGAGAAGCTGAAGAATGAACCTTCATATTTTATTTAGGTTCTGGGTGAACCAGACCTTTCTAAACCAACCATACAAAAAGTTAAGACCAGGGTAGGGGGACCTTACAAACTAGATCTGTCCCCGACCCCTGGCTTACAATTTTAAATGAGTTGTTTACCTTTGTTAGACCCCAGTTTCCGAATTTTTGAAACAAGATGTTGAAAAATCACTGGAAGAAGAAAAGGTGTAGATTAAAGCATACATCTTCACAAAGCCTCTGGGGCAAGTTACTCTATAAATAGGTGTATTGTTTTAAACACTCCAGAAGGTTTATCTGTAAAATTATATATTTTATCATTGTCCTATTATAGTAACAGTAGGAATAGCCAACCATCCTATGCTGTTTCTAAATCATAACCTGAAAAAATATATCGATAATAAAATTATACACACACACACAAAATTATCTACATTCTATAAACTTAACACTCAAAAATGTTTTGCCTAAAATAAGAAGGAATAAAAAACACAAATGTCAAGCCTAAGGGAAAATGAAGTTGAATAGAGAAAAGAAGCCACTTAGCACTGGGGGGAGGGTAAAGGATTACAGCTCTAGACTAGAAGAGCAAACAGAGGTCTGTTAAACATACAAAGTGCAAACTACAGAGAAACAGTACGTTCAGTTCTATCTGTTTCATTGATGTAGCACCCAGGGTTTAGACAATTTAGAATGCCCCCAAACGCTGAAGACTGAGATAAATACCTACTTGGAGACAGCATGAGAGGCACTCAAGTTTCAGGCTAAGGTGGCAAAGAGACTTGGCAGAGGTTGTAAGCAGCACTGGTCTGCAGGGATAGCTTGCCCACTGGCTTAGGAACACTAAAAGGTGCAGTCAGACCAAGACTCTTTACAGAACCAGGAGATCTTTTTGTTGTTTTGGCTGCTATGTTTTACCACTGATCTTGGGAAAATTCGGAGGCATCTTCACTCAGAAAGATGCAAAGAATTGCTCCAAATGTTAACATTGGAGAATCTCCTTTCTTAACTATCATTCATGATCACTTCTGGATGGGTTTGCCAAACCATGTGAGCCTACCAGCCAACTTCCCTGGAGCTGAAGTTACTGATGGTTGTTAGCCATAATGGGTGCTGGGACCCAAACCAGGGTCCTCAGTAAGACCATCAAGCATTTTTATCTGTCAAGCATCTCTCCAGCCTGGCCACCATGTTTATATAAGTAACAAGATTGCTTCCGGCTAGGGGGAAGATGTGACCTCATTTTTCAAGGTGTCACTCTCTGAAAACATAACTTAGAAGGGGTCAGCAGAAAGACTTCTCCTTCTTGGCATCTCCTAAAAGAATGTGCAAGGGATAAGAAGGGCCTGTGGGGATTTCCAGAACAAAGTGCCAGTGAGGAAAACACGTAAGCACCTAAACTGAATTAAACTAAATCTAAAACACAGTTTCTTCTGGGGAAAAAAGAAATCAGAAATTTTAATTAAAATCTGATGTTTCATTTCTGTCTAGCTACTGCTGAAAATAAGGTTTGTGATCCTAATATTGACGTTCATGGAAGCACAATTGAGAACTTGGTGGGATTAATTGAAAATCATTATTTTGAGCATTAAATTTTAAATCTCAAATTAGCTTTTCATAGTTGAATACCACTGTGCTTTCATAGTTTTCTTCAAATATGATGAACAAATTTTGATGTTTGAAAACCTGACAGTCAACCATGCAGTGGTGGTGCATGCCTTTAGTCCCAGCACTTGTGGACAGAGACAGGTGGATCTTTTTGAGGTAGAGGCCACCCTGGTTTACATAGTAAGTTCCAGGACAGCCAGAGCTACATAATAGAGAGACCCTTTCTCAAAGAAATAGAGAGAGGGAGAGAGAACAAAAGAAACCTGATGACAGTAGCAGTATAATAATAGCTCCCCCTTACCACCAATATCAACACTATTCCTTGAGGGCTCACTGTACATCAAACATGACACCAAAGTGATTCTAAGATTAATACACTCAAGTCTATCAATGATCCTATGGACTATGTACTGTTGCTATCCATAAGAAGAAACTGGGACATGCTGGAGAGATGATGGCTCATTGAGAACTGGCTGCTCTTCCAGGACTGGGTTTGATTGCAAGCACCCATGTACAGGCTCACAACTATAACTCCAGTTCTAGGGTATCAGACACCCTCATCCAGACTCTTCTAGAACCAAGCACGTGGTACACAGACATACATGAAGCAAAACACCCACACACACACACACACACACACACACACACACACACACACACACACAATTGAGACAAGAAAAAGTTAACTAATTTTCCTAAATTAATGTGGTTAGATTGTCAGTTAGGATGCTTCCACTATGGCTGGCAGAAACTGCCAACAGGAGGTGCACATTAGGTGATAGTACAGGAAGAGCAGAGGTGTGGCAGGTATTAGTATAGCTAGTTCTCCCGGCGGAGTCACCTACAGCTCTGCCACTGTGCAAGAAGAGAGGGAAGGCCATTGTGCCCTTGCAGGGTCTCCCCTGCTGCTCAGCAGAGAATGAGTAAGAGAAATGTCCACTATGCATCAGAGCCTCTGTCTCTATTGGATTTTCTTGACTTGCTTGCATCCATCTTCCTTTCTTTCTCCCCCTCCTCCCCTCCCTCTCTCCCCTGCATCCATTGCTCTACTCCCCCTCCCTCCCTTTTTTCCCTACCCCCTTTCTCAGCTAACACTTTAAAAACAAAAGGTTGTAGTAAGTTTGATCAAAATGATGGATATATGCAGAAAGTGAGCTCCCTTACTAACTTTTTAAGATTCTTAGTCATCTCAGTCATCTCAGAAGGCTGGCAGGCAGCTAGCATGGCAGATGAGGAAGACCCCATCTTTGAGGAGGAAAATGAAGAAATTGGAGGAGGAGCAGAAGATGGACAGGGGAAAAGAGTTAAACTCTTCTCCAAAGAATTATGATTATGTATGATGTATGAGTTTGGGGAATACCAGAATCCTTACATTGAGTCAGTGGATATTCTTGAAAACCTTGTCATAGAGTTCATTACTGAAATGACCCGCAAGGCAATGTCAATTGGAGATAGGGTCGAGTGCAAGTTGCAGATATTGTCTTCCTTATTCGAAAGGACCCAAGGAAGTTTGCTAGGGTTAAAGACTTACTATGTTTTTGTTTTGTTTTGTTTTTGTTTTGTTTATCAAGACAGGGTTTCTCTGTGTAGCTTTGGAGCCTATCCTGGCACTCCCTCTGGAGACCAGGCTGGCCTCGAACTCAGAGATCCACCTGCTTCTGTCTCCCGAGTGCTGGGATTAAAGGCATGCACCACCAATGCCCCAGCTGACTTAACTTACTATGAATGAAGAATTGAAACGGGCTAGAAAAGCCTTTGACGAAGCCAACTATGGATCTTGACAATGTTTGTAATATGTGAAATTTTGATATTGCTGTAGTCGAAATTAAAAAGTAGAAATTAAATGTATGATTATGACTCCTTTAGCATGGTGATTAAAAAATGTGTTAATATAAATAAAAAAACTTAAAATAAAATGTAACCATGTTTTTTCAGAACTTAAATTTTAATGTGAAAAGTGTCACTGTTTTTGCAAATCTTTTTTTATGCCTGGCTTCAAGCCAGGCAGCTGATATATCCTAGCTGCTTCTGCGTTCTTGCAGCCACGCAGCCTGGAGCCATGAAGCACTCCGGTGAACTTTTGTGAGAGAATCATAGAGAAAATGAAAAATTCCTAGTATTACTATGAAAAATTGTTTCCTCTCTTGGATTCTCCCACAGGAGTCCTGGGACCCCAAGGGTTCTCAGATCACAGTGGCAGGAGAATCTCCATCTTGATGTGCCACTGTGAGATATACTCATGCATAAATTATAATCATCTCTAGCAATTACACAGGATAACATATTACGATAATAGACTTAAGTACATCATATCTCAGAAAAGTGGAGAAAGCACACAGAGATGAGCAGTGTAGGGAGTCTGATAACCAGCTCATGCATGACCAGATGTTCCCGAAGTTTCTGCATTGAATAGTCTCTTGCAGTATTGTAAATATAATCAAATTTACTTCCAAATATATGTGCTTACCTTTTTCTGAGGAGATTCAATATCTCTATTCTCTTTCCAGATTAACTATTTCAGATAATTTAAAAGTTGGCTTTTTCACTTCAGACCACGCTACTCAGACGGATTGCAGTGAAATTTTGCCATTGAAAGATTTGACTCAATCAACAGAAAAATTAATGAAGGTAGATCTGGGTGTAACTTCTAAGATAACTTTGTATGTTATTTATCTTTTTATGGTGAATTTTGTTTGGGGAGGGGTTGATGTACTGGAGATCAAATCCAGTACCTCATGAATGTTATAAAAAACAACAACAAAAACACTTAGCAGTGAACAACATCCCTACACCTGTGGCTTTATACATCTTTTATTGGCAAAACTGAAATGATTGAGATTGTCTCAAAATATTAAGGTCTTTGGGAAATGGGGCCAGATGGCAGTTGTATTCTCTTTAATTTAATTTTTAAAGATTTAATTTTAACTTTGTGTACATGTGTGTTTTGCCTGCATTTGTGTCTGTGCACCATGTGTGCCTGGTGCTCTCAAAGGTCAGAAGGGATCAGATCTCCTGGAATTGCAGTTACAGATTCTGGTTGTGAGCTGCTATGTGAGTGCTGAGAACTGAACCCAGTCCTCTGCAAGAACAATAAACCACTGAACCATCACCCCGGGCCCCCAGTTGTACTTTATAATTGATCTAAGATATGACCTATACTTGCCGTGTTTATGTCGTACATAGGTGAATCTGTTCAGTAAAATTTCTGTTCTTTTGACATACGTAAATACGTTCTGCTTATGATCCATTAAGAAAAGGAGAAATTATTTTACATGTAGATAAATGAAGACAATGAGATACTGAATAATTTTCTAATGGTATAGCTTGGTCAAATCATATCATTTCCCTTGGATCTTTTGAGAAAAAACAGAGTATTTCATAAATATAAGATATTGAGTTATTAAAACTACTACATGAAGTGGAATGCTACTACAAATTGTCTCAGGTGCCTCATTTTTATTCTCACCAATATCTATGCATAAATATCTTCCACATAATTGAACAGAGTAGCACATGCCTGAAATTCCAGATAGTCAGGAAGCTGAGACAGGAGGATCACTTGTTGTGGTCAGCCTGGGCAAATTCATGAAACACTATGTCAAAAATTAAATTCAAAATTTAAAAAGGGGGAAAAAACAAAGATAAAATCAACTGGGGAGAGAGCTTAGTGGGATAAAGTGCTTGTCCAGCTTAGATAAGGCCCTGGGTTCGATACCCAGTATCTTCATTTCACAACTACATCACAAGATATACATCATATATTTCACTAGCCCCTGTGTTGATAGACATTTTGGTAGTTTATAATCTTTCTCTGTTTTGAGATTAACCCTGTATGGGCTCAAGTGCCAGTAAAACTGTAATGTAAATTCTTAAAGAAGAACTTGTGAGTCAGAGGGTATGTACATGCGCCATTTTGCAGGGCAGTGCCAAGATGCCCTGCTGAAAGACTACCAATTTACACTAAGAGCTTTTGAAGATGTCGCCTGGACAAACACTTGTCAATTTATTGTCCTCTTTTAGAATGGCATATGTTCTTGCAGCATCTTTATAATTTTCTTCCTCGATAACTACATATGCCCAAACTAAGTTTTAGTCAGGAGGATTTAGATGGCCTTGGTAGGGGGAAGCTTTGGGAACCTTCTTTGAGACACAGTACACAAGCACTGGCTAGCCTGCTCTTGCCTCTCTTCTGGTTCCTCCTTCCCACACCTCTCTCTCTCCTGCCCCAGGATTTTATCTAATCCTAATCACATCTCTGTGTTCACACCTGTAAACACCATAGCACACTAAGATTTCACATTTCCCTTAATGTTTTGTGATGGAGATTAAATTCCAACATAAGTTTTGGAAGGAACAGGCCATCCTCAAACCATACCATTCCACTAGCATATCTTAGTTTTGAAATTAGACATCATTTTTGAAGACCTAGACATGGCAAGGGAGAATTATTGGACTTCTTCAAAATAGTATATCTGAGAGATAATATTCAAAGGTAAACCAGGCACCAGGTCTAGTGCTCCAAAACAAGGAATGTGCTGGAATATTGGCACCCAGAACCCCACTCTTGACACCTATATATGGTTTTTATTTTGTAGAAGATTACATCACTTCAGGTGGATTTTGGCTTCCTCAAAGATTTGGTTCAACTGAAGTTTGAGGACCGACTTAAAGAGGAGTCTTGGAAAATCCTTGGTGTGCTTCAGGACAGGATTTCAGAAATGAAAAAATATCAACGACAGGTAGGCGATCTCTCGTTTTCTCTCCCACAGGAATTGATCCTGTGTTGGATGTGTTTGGGTTTGGGTCACTTATCAGGGAGACTGCACTTATGTAAGATGTGTCTCTAGGAGCTAAAGCTGTCAGGAACTTGGGTGAACACTTCATGTGTGACCTCAGTAACCCTCACACTTGCCTTGTACAGTTGGTATGATTGTTACGGATAGGGAAACAGGCTCATTTGCTCACAATTACCACCCAGGAAGTAGAACTTGAGATTCTCTGCCAGACACTTGCTTTTGAATGTTTTTATTTTTAAGTAAGGTGCTTTTGTTTATTTTTCGATAATTCCACGCATATATACAGTGTGCTCTAACCATATCTATCCCAACTCCTCTTTCCAACAACCCCAGACCCTCCCCCAACACATGTCCACCCTGCTTCCATGTGTTATTATTTTTTTGTAAATAATCCATTCAGTTCGCTTAGTGCATCTGCATGGACACGTGCATCCTATCAGTGGCCATAGAACCAAAGACAAATGGCTTCCTCCCCCAGCACCCACCGACCTCCAACAGCTCCTCAGCTAGGGGCGAAACTCTCAGGAACCCTTCCCCATCCACATTGGAATTATTTTTTTCCAACTTTTTTATTTGAATTAGAAACAGGATTGTTTTACATGACAATCCCAGTTCCCTTCTCCCACCCGTCCTCCCCTACCACCCACAACTAAAACCTTATCTGTCACATATCCTTTCTGCTCCCCCTGGATGGTGAGGCCTTCCATAGGGTTTCATCAGAGTCTTTCGTATCCTTTGGGGTAGGGCCTAGGCCCACCCCCGTGTGTCTTGGCTCAGGGAGTATTCCTCTATATGGAATGGGCTCCCAAAGTCCACACCTATGCTAGGGATAAATACTGAACTTCTACAGAAGGTCCCATAGATTTCCGAGGTTTCCTCACAGAAATCTGTTCCTGGGGTCTGGATCAGTCCCATGCTGGTATTCCAGCTATCAGACTGGACCCGGATGTTCAGGTCAGCTGTTTCTGTGTGTTTCACCAGCCTGGTCTGGACCTCCGTGCTCTTCACTGGTCCTTCTCTGCATCTGGGTTCCAGTTCAGATCGGTGATTAGTTATGGGTGTCTGCTTCTACTTCCACCAGCTGCTGGATGAAGGCTATAGGATGTCATATAATTCAGTCAACAATCTCATAATCAGGGGAGGGCATTTAAGGTAGCCTCTCCTCTGTTGCTGAGATAGTTAGCTGGTGTCATCTTTGTAGATCTCCAGACATTTCCCTAGTGCCTGATTTCTCTGTACATTTCCCTAGTGCCTGATTTCTCTGTACACCAAAAAATTCTCCCTCTATTATATCTCCATTCTTGTTATCATCTATTCTTCCCCTGACTCATACTTTCTGCTCCCTCATGTCCTTGGCATCCCTCTTCTTCTCCCCTTTTCATTCTCCTAGCTCCCTCCCCCCTCTTCCTGTGCTCCCAATTTGCTCAGCAGATCTTGAACCTCTCCCCTGGCTTGAAATAGCACAGGTCTTGCTTAGGTAACCATGGCTACTATAAATCCAGCATCTCACAGCACCGTCGATATTCTCTGGCACTTGCCCTCTTTCAGCTACCTCTTCTGCATGCTTACTGAGCGTTAGGGGGCAATATAGATATCTTGTTTAGGACTGAATATTTCTTACTCTCCTCACTTTGACCACCTGAAAGTCTCTGCCTTGACTGCTGCCACTGAAAGAAAAAAGCTCTGACCAAGGTTGAGAGCATCACTAATTTGGGGTTCTAAAAATATTTAGAAGGCCATTGGAGCTTTTTTAAAATGTCTGTTTAACAAAACCTTAGTAGTAGGTTTCCCACGTCTAGGGCCTATGACCTCCTGAGTCATGTGATTTTATTTTAATTATGGGTGTTTTCCTGTGGGTATGTCTACTCCCTGCACATGACACCATCTGGTGCCTATACATAAGAAGGTGTTGAATCCACTGGAATTGGAGTTACAGTGGTTTTGTGAGCATCTTTGTGGGTTTGGGGAATCAAACCTTGGTCCTCTGGAAGAGCAGCCAGTATGCTTACCCTGAGCCATGTCTTCAGTCACAAGTCATTGGCTTTTGATCAGGATTATGGTACCTAGCACGAATTCTCTCCTGTGAAACAAGTTTCAATTCTAATCAGAAACAAAATTGATTACCCTCATAACAGTCACTCTGTGATTACAGCTGTGGTCACATCTTTCCTGGCAGGTCAGGGTTAAACTTGCAGGATCTGCCACTGGGTAAGTCCACTGATGACTTTGCTCCCCAGTGACCTGCATAGTGTTCTTTGGCACTGTGAAAATTAACCATCAGGGAACAAGTTTCCAAGTCTGTTCTAACTTGGTTTCTCTATACACTAAAACAAAATGTTCTGTGTTTCCGTTAGTGAGATGCCATCATCTAGTTAAAATGGGCAAGTCAGAGCAGGGGCACTAGCCGATGTTGTTCTGGAGGCCTTGGACCTTCACCTTTAGATCAGGGGGTGATGTCCTGACCCATCCCTCGGGTCGTTCAGGGTTCTGAAGGGGGGCTGCCTGAAAGAATCATGGGCGAGAGAAGGGAAGGAGACCAAGTGCGCAAAAGAGGGGACCAGAGTCCATCTGTGCAATTGTCAAGGTCTCGATTTATTGGAGCTCAGAGTGGGCTTATATAGCCCTGCAACAAGGAAATTGGGTAAGCGGGGTGGGATAGCTTGCGGTATCTTCGAAACAGCAGGCAGAAAGGCCCACACCTTTTCTCGGAATGCAGTCGTTATCAGTCCTGCTTGGCCAAACTTATCTAATTATGGGTCACATGAGGCTCACAGAGTTGTCTTTAAGCTGCAAACTTTAAAGGTCATAAAAAGCTTACAAAGGTGGGCTTTTAAACCCCATAGTTTAGGGCCCATGGCCCTTAACATCTCCCCCTTATTTTTTCCTTAACAAAGGAGGGAGGTGAAGACTAGGCCACAGGTAGCATTCTTAGGGGGTCTTTGTACACATCTCTGTCTTAGGTTAGTTCGACCTTGCCACCTCACTGACTTTACCTGTCTTCGGGTGATAAAAAACCCTCCATCCAAGGGTCCCATGTCTTAGGTTAGTCTAGGAGGGAAGGAAGTTGCCTGCCATTTGTACCCAGAGCTACCAGTGTTGCATGCCTAAGGATGGCAAGTATGGCTCTAAAGCCTGTGACTAGACCTTTAATAGTTTAGAAAAATTAAGCCTCTCTTGATGGCCCAAGGGGTTGCCTGGTTCGCTCTGCTCGCCACGCTGCTCGTCACCTGGGTTCTGGATCCGGTGATACCGTACGGAGACAAAATCTTTAGAAAGGGATGAATCGATTTGACCTTTTATAAAGCAAGTTATTCTTTGGAGGGCCCATGTGCCAAAAGAAATCAGCAGCAATAATCCTATAAGCGGTCCCAGGAGGGAAAGCCAGGGGGAGGTTGAAAACCAATTTTTATATCAGGACTCTTGTTGTTCTCTTTGTTTCTTTCTATCCTCTAGATTTTTCTTTATTTTTTCTATATTATCTTGTACTAACCCAGTTTTATCTTTATAAAAACAGCATTCCTCTTTAAGAGCTGCATAGAGGCCGCCTTCTTTAAGAAAGACCAGGTCAAGACCTCTCCTATTTTGCAACACCACCTCAGATAGGGAGACCAGAGAGTCCTTTAGATTTTGGAGTCCTGTATTAAATAGTCAATCAAGTAGAACAGGCAAGGTAGGAATTAAATGCCTGCAATTCCCTGATAAAGGGGAGGGGTGGAAGAATAGCAGACCCAACTGTCCTCTATAAGGGAGTGGCTGGGTTGATGAGGGGCCTGATCAGTAGGGTTAATTAAGGCAGGGGTTCCCTAGTCTGGAGAGGCCCCTAAGGCTAAAGCATATAAGTCAACTATCGGGGGGAATAAGAGGGGGTGGTCGAAATAGTTGTGAAGCATTGGCAGCATCACTGGCTCGGTTGAGGATCATCCAGGTGTAGTTGTAGATCTGATAAGGGCTTCCAGTGGCAACGGCAATTGAAGGTGATAAATGCCCAAGTAGCCAGAAAGACAGCATCTTTTATCTAGAATTAAACATAATTAGAAGTCTTCTCAGGGGCTTCCCCTGGGTGTATTAAAAAGGCATTTAGGCAACCATCTAGCATTATTGGCCTGAGTATTAAAATAGATGCATGTCCTTTTCCCCAAATGAGGACCGGATCTGGTCCGTGCCATTTGTAAGTTAGGGGGTCTTTCCATAAGGCTTGAGCATAATTTTGAGCCCTTCATGGATGCCAGAGGCGATCCGCGGCTGATTTTTCTGTAACATCATATATGAGGAAATTTAACATAAACAATGTATGGTATAGAACTCCTCCTCCTTAGGCAACCTGGTGGCCGCCCGCTCTCTGGAGGTCACCATATTGATGCCGAACTTAGTGGGGACATCCGATCAGCATAGTGCACTACAGCCCAAAATTCCTGGACTCAAGTGATCTCCTGTCTCAGCCTCCCGAGTGCTAGGATTAAAGGTGTGTGCCACCACTGCCTGGCTTGTGTATCCCTCCGGCTCAGGAGCGCCACTGCCTGAGCTGTGGGTTTGCCTCATGTCTCACCACTGCTATAAAATCGCGGAGGCAGGCGTTTCACTCCCCCAAGTCAGCAGCATGCTGCGTCCCCAAAGGCCCAAAGGCCCAGCCATGCCCGCTGCTACAGCTTGGCAGGCAGGTCCATGCGCGCTGGGCGGGACTAGGCCACATGGGCTGTTCCTGTAACACTGGTCTCAGGAATTAAGCACAAAATTGCTGGAAACTTTGCTAGTATATCTAGACCCATTATCTGTTTTTACAGCTTTTGGCATTCCCATGTAAAACATCTTAAACAGTGACTTATAACATGCCTGATGGCTTCTCCCGTTTGTGGAGTGGCACATTTTTAACTTGCCAAACTCTGTAATGTGAGTCACATCCATTCGCCATAAATGGTTGGTGAGCAGGCCTTGAGGATTCATCC